GAATGTGATTGTGCCAAATAAATTAAGAATATGTGTAAAATTTTCTTATTCATTGGTGATATATAAAAACATAAAGACAAACTAATAAAGTTAATTGTTGAATGATTATGAGATTAACAAAGTTAATAATTATATATCGTAAGAACTAACTTGAATAACATAGTTAAAATTTAAGAATTTGAAAATAAAAAAAAATGAAAAAAAAATACTCCATAGACACATCAACCACCTCTAATATCTTTTAGTGACAAAATTAAGTGTTTACTCCTTTTTTAATTATTACTCATTAGCATAGTTAATAGCTTTTCTTCTTAATAATTTATTTCCCTAAACTTTCTCAAAATGTTTGTAATATAAGACTAATTAATTGTTTATCTAAAATGAATATGAAATAAACGTATGCAACTTTTTTAGATTAATAAACTATTAAATTCATTCTCTAAATATTTATTTTTTATGTTTTTAACATTATAAAAAGAATAGAATAATAATATTATAATATTGTAAATAATAGAAAATTAAAAATCATGTGTGAAACAAATATACTTAATTAAAAAAAAGTCGATAGTTATAATAACTAATATAAAGTAATAAAGAATAAAAAGTTATAGGATATCTAAACAATAATACATTATTGATGAGTTGATATTCGACTACATATAGAATAGACTACAAAAATATTATTGTAAATTAGGCAAATAGTTTAGAATTGGTCTTATATCATTTATGATGTGAGTTAAATACTTGTTGTAACCGTTAAAATTTTACCTTGACAAGTATATTTATTCATGGAAATTTATTGATATGAGAATTCAATGACATGGTCCATAATCATGAAAGTCTCATCCTTTATTTATCATTTTTATTTATAAAAAAATAATATTTACTTCAAAATAATATAACGAGTAAATTAGATGTAAACTTTTAGATGGGGTCTAATGACTAAGTGTAATCTCTGAGGAATGTTATATATCAAAAAATTAAGGGAATTAGTGAAGGAAAAGAATGTAGACTTTGTGTGCAATTTTATGAAACCTCAATAAGTGTTTGTCTAATTTAATCTACAAACTTCAACTTCAACTTGATCTTGGTTCTCAAATTTAACTAGAGTCATGAACTAGTATTATTGTTTGTTAACCTTCCAATGGGAAATTAAAAATCATTCACCATGTGTCAATCACTCAACCTTAAACTCCTAGATATGGCATACTCTAAATCTTTCATGAAAATACATTGCCCACTAGAAACGCTAAGCTTGCCACATAGATTTGTAAGGTATTTTCACCCATTATTTCAAGCAGCTAGCCCACCCACTAATTATGGGTGGACAAAAAAAATTAAACCAAACTAGTGATAAAGTGAACTGAATTGCATTATCAAAAATCGAATTATTTGTAATAAAAAAAAATTAAACTAAATTATAAAAACTGAATTATTTGTATGAAAGGGTATAAATTAACTGTCTAAAATGGTTCATTTTAACGGGTCGGTTCGATAGGCCAATTGTTCAAATTTCGAAAAAAAAAAGTGATATAAAAAAGTGTACAATTTTGGTCACACCCAGAGAGCCAACCGGACTATTTTGGACCACAATTTTTGGACTTGAATTGAAACCTACCGAGTCTATTTGGCCCAATATTTTTTTATATTTTCATTTGAAAAATTTAAATAAAATAAAATTGACAAATTTGTCATATCTTGATGGACGAACAAGTCAAAATAAATCAATTCAAAGTATTATAACAGTTTAGTGTAGTTTGAATTATAGTTCTCTTCAAAATTTTATGCTACAGTTCAGTTCAATGAAACAAAAAAATAATTCAATTCAATTCTCTTAAACTAATATGTAATGTAGTTTAGTTCAAGCAAACTTTTTTTTAAGTTCAATGTAGTTTTTATAAGTTTATAGTTCAATTCAATTTGTTTTGCCCGTGCCTACTACTAACCAATGGGTCAGAGCTCCAATCCACTAAAGAACGCAAGACAATCCATCCCATTAAAGATTCATTTTACTTCAAAGCGTTAGGGTTATTGGATCAATTTATTTCACTCGATATTGATGAGATATTGTATATTTTAAGTCTAAGTTCTCATTATTTTCCTTTTAGTCATAACCCAAAGGTCTCTAACAAATGGAGTATGTATGTGTTTCATTGGCAGTGATGTGGCACAGAGGGTTGCTTATAAGCAACCCTCATTGGAGATGCTCTTATAAATGAGTAGAAAATGTTTGTAATTGTTACTCGCGAGAATCCATTTAGGTTACTTATTTATTATTCATAGAAAATTTTGTCTCTGGATATTGCAAGTAATCTTTAAGTAAGATATTGTCTGCTTTAAATTTATATCCTCGTGATTTTACTTTTGGTCAAAAGACATCTAACTAATAGAATATGTGTGTATTTTATAAATTCTTAGTTCTCTTTTTATTTTAACAATGTAAGACCTTGTTTGTGAGGTGTCAAAATGGTAACAACAAAATGAACCAAATAAAAAAAATACTTTATTGTAATCACTTGAAAAATACACAAAACAAAACAAAAATATAAGACCCTGATTGGTACGTCTATTTTCTACTAAAAATGAAATTTTGAGATGAAAATGTGTTTAGTTGTTATTTTAGAAAATGTTTTCTTTGAAAACATTTTCAAAATTATTGTCCATATGAACTCTTCTACCTATTTAACATATAATATTTTGAATATATTAAAAATTATTATTTAACTTGATATTATCTTGATTTTACTATTTGATTTTTTTTTATCTAAAGACATCTAATATATCATGCATTTCACGAATAAAATAACTAGTTATCTTAAATTTGAAATATAATTTATATGTTTAAAAGTATCTATTTATATAAATTT